ACCACACACTTACTAACTTAATCGGTTCAACCTAACCTGTTAATGTTGATGTCCATTTGGTATTGGTATGTATCCAACACACACTTACTAACTTAATCGGTTCAACCTCACCTGTTAATGTTGATATCCATCTGGTATTGGTATGTATCCAACACCAACAGGTTAGGTTGAACCGATTAAGTTAGTAAGTGTGTGGTGGATACATACCAATACCAGATGGATATCAACATTAACAGGTGAGATAGAGAAACAAGCTACTTTGATATCTTCAGTAAGTAAACGCAGAATGTGTTAAAAAACTAACTGTACAACAATTAAATCTGATAATTAATATGTAGCTTACATTTAGGACACCTGTTAAATATTTAATCAACAGCTGTTGATCAGATACAAGTTATTGAACATTGAGCTTTCATAACTGTTTAATGGAACATTTTTATTCGTCATCTGTTTGTAACGTTGTTATAAACAACAATATCCACAGAAAATTACTGTTTAATGGAACTGTTTGTAACGTTGCTATAAACAACAATATCCACAGAAAATTACTGTTTAATGGAACTGTTTGTAACGTTGTTATAAACAACAATATCCACAGAAAATTACTGTTTAATGGAACTGTTTGTAACGTTGTTATAAACAACAATATCCACAGAAAATTGTAATAATCTTTCAACACATGTTTTATTGTCTGTACAACAAAGAACACTTTATTTTGATACAATAATATGAGGATTACTGCTACTGGTAGAGGTAAGCTTTGGAAACCCCACTCTCTCTCGCTCCTCACGTGATATCAAAGGAAGACACTAAACTGGAACATTTGGTGTACACATAACGCAAGGAGATTGTTAGATCCATATTGAGTTGAGATCTGTGTTTTCTTTATAATTGTTAAGAAATGAATGTTGACATTATTTACTTTCTGGCAAGCAGGTAACATTATCACAGGAGTTTCATGTAAAAACCCAGATCGAATATCACAATATTTGTCTTTACTGCCGAGATGATATGTGGTATAATTACTTTTACGGTATTTACTAAATTCTCGTTTTTTGGTAAAATACCTTTTTTTGGGGGGGGGGGCACTGACATGAGAACGTGTAAAGCAAGTGAACAAACTGTAACTGTGATAAATAAACTGTAACCTTGATAAACATAATTGTTCATAAATGCAACTCTGATAAACATAATTGTTTGTAACTGTAACCCTGATAAACATAATTGTTCATAACTGTAACCCTGATAAACATAGTTGTTTGTAACTGTAACCCTGATAAACATAATTGTTCGTAACTGTAACCCTGATAAACATAATTATTCGTAACTGTAACCCTGATAAACATAATTGTTCATAACTGTAACCCTGATAAACATAATTGTTCATGACTGTAACCTTGATAAACATAGTTGTTCATAACTGTAACCCTGATAAACATAATTATTCGTAACTGTAACTCTGATAAACATAATTGTTCGTAACTGTAACCCTGATAAACATAATTATTCGTAACTGTAACCCTGATAAACATAATTGTTCATAAATGTAACTCTGATAAACAAAATTATTCGTAACTGTAACTCTGATAAACATAATTGTTCATAACTGTAACCCTGATAAACATAATTATTCGTAACTGTAACCTTGATAAACATAATTGTTCATAAATGTAACTCTGATAAACATAATTATTCGTAACTGTAACTCTGGTAAACATAATTGTTCGTAACTGTAACCCTGATAAACATAATTATTCGTAACTGTAACCTTGATAAACATAATTGTTCATAAATGTAACTCTGATAAACATAATTGTTCATAACTGTAACCCTGATAAACATAATTGTTCATAACTGTAACCCTGATAAACATAATTATTCGTAACTGTAACCCTGATAAACATAATTGTTTGTAACTGTAACCCTGATAAACATAAAGTCAACTTCTTGGCGTTTTATCAAGTATTCCGTTCTCTACACCGTTATATATGAAAGTTTAAAGTCTAAGAACAGATCTCTCCCTCTTTTTTTCCTTCATTGATTTTTCTCATGAATATTATCGATCGAGTGAATGTTTTGTGGACTGTATGCTAAAACGTGCGAAATCGAATATAAAACACGGAGACGTACTCGTCGAACGCAATAATTTTACATCTCACGGAATGGATGTCAGCTCTCCAAAATTTTTTTTTTCCTAACACCCCAGGGATCTTTCTTCCCTCACAACAAGATCAGAATTTTCTTGTTTGACACCATTAAACATGGGAACAGTGAACAACATTTCCGTCAGCTTTAGTCATCCTCCATTCTCTGGGTTTTAGTGGATTATAGAAACCATCTCTACTTCGAATATCTAAAATACAAAGGCTTTGACAAGAAGAAAAAAAAAGTAGCTTATACTCTAGATGAAGGAAGAGGGAACGGTAGTGAGATGAAAACTTTGTCAACAAACTTTATAAGAAGTTCTAACAAACCTGTTTTGTAGTTTGCAAATATTTTAAATCTGTCGAAGGAGCATGGACAAGTGAGAATTATGTGAATAAATATAACGCTATAGATGTACGATTCTACTGAGCCTACTTGGATTTAATTTCTGTGATACTTTAAGAAAAAACATATCACGTTGCGGTTTGGTATGCATTAGTACTTACCTAAGACACAGCCATTATCTAATCTCTATAGTTTTGGTCGATCTGATTCAAAACTTAAAACCTAATTCTCATTCAAAACTTACTAAATTCACTCACATTCAAAACTTATCAGACTCACACTCATCCAAGCCACGTGAAACTCACTTCTATCCAAAACTTACAAAACTCATATCATCTAAAACTTATAAAATTCATTCTCATCCAAAATTTATAAAACTCACTCTTACCCAAAACTTAATATACTTTCATTTCATGTTTACAAAATCAATGATTACGAAACTAACTCACATTCGAAACTTATAAAACCCACTTTCATCGAAACGTATAACTCTATTTTTTTTTTTTTACATTTTCCTCATATATTTTAAATAAATTATCAATAAACTTGGGAAACAGACATTTTCAGAACAAAACCCCCACGTAATGTCACAAACTGTGGGATTCATCTCTCTTTTTTTTCTTAAGAAACTTTACACGTAGACAAATATTTTTTTTAACACTAGAAACATAACTTGAGAGAGAGAGAGAATTAGTTTGGTTGTTTTGGCAGCACGAAACAGGACTCCAAAGGAAAACGAAGGTAATAAAAATAATTTCAGGCTTAGGCTATCCAGATAGACAGTCACCCAATCCAACAGAACTTTGCACGGAGAGCCTATAGATCTATGTGAAAATAAGTTCCCTGTTTTTTCTCGAGAAGACTGTAAACGATCTTTTTGGCGACTAGACCACGCAGCTGTTTCCTTTGGTGATGGGGCTGCAGAAAAAAAAAAAAAAAGACACGAACCTTTTTTTTTCAGGATTTATGATACTGCTTAAGATTATATCACAATGGAAAGATAATTTTGGAAGAGTTATTGATTTTTTCCCAAAGATAACTTGTAACTGCTTATTTTTCGTTAAGGTCACAAAATATATCTAGTAAATGAAACATCATTTATATTTAAAACAACGCAAAATCTTTGGATAAGTTTTATTACGCGTTCAGTACGTAATGCATCAGTTAGTGTTAAGGTGTAACTTACTGGCAGAGATATCATATCATTGTAAGACTGATAATGATTTAAACCATCCTGTTCTTTATGGCTTAAAGATATATGCAGAAGGTCGAACAGGTTATATCAAAACGGTTGAGTAGCCTCACCACGTCGTTGCACTCTTTTTCACCACGCCTGCTCATGCTGTAGCTGACAGCAGGACGTCTTCACAGTAGCTCTGCAACATAGTTTCTATTACGAAAAATTCCGTCGTAAGACTGTCATGCTCAAAGCACACCACTCTTCCCTGCATCGTTCAATAATTTATCTGATGGACGAGAAAGACGGTTTCGCAGTGACTGTTTGAATAGTGAGATTGCACAGAAATCCGTAGGCGCTGCTTGAGGTATGTGATGGTTGAACGGATATATCATGGAAGCAACTTGTGTACACGTGACTTGTTTCACTTTATCAGACGGAGATTATCAACACTGACCTTTATGTTTGTGGGATCTCACCTTTCACATGACGTCGAACTTCGCTTACCATGTCTAGGGCAGGATTTGTTACAAATATCTTTCTGGATGGTCCTGGTGTCCCAAGTTGATCCATACTTTGTTTTTCAATGCAATTAAGTACATGTGATATCCCTTTCTTAGAAATTCCTCGATCCGATCAAATCTATACGATATGAGTGGTTGAATAGTTTATGTTGCAAAGGGTTGTTAAATATCTTTCTCAAAACAATTAATTTTTGTTGGCATCACACAACTAGAAAACGCCAAACAATGTCAAAATGTAGTTCTGATACATTCCGTTCTACTTCGACTTTGTATCGGCTTGGTTGTCACGTGCCTTGCTAATTTGCATATCCAAAATACTTTTAATACAACGCAGTCAAATCTCTGTATAACAATATTTGAACTATAATCTATTTGTTGCACGAGATCTTTGGCTCGATGTATACACCAGATTCCATCAGAATAGCTGGTTTGCAATTTATAAAAATCCTTAGTTGAAACGCCATTTATATCAGTGGTTTTTGATACCATAACGCCTTAGCTTGTTGTTAGGGGCATAAACAATATATAATTGAAACATTTGAAGTATAATCTCCTTTGTGGAAAGCGGTATTGGATCAGTAAATAAACATGGTGATTAATTCATTATCAGAGCATTATACTCACATACATTTACTTTCTAACAGGTTCCAAACGTTTTAGTTAGAGTGTCCGTTCTTTATATTATTGTAGAAGCTAACATACTATTTTATAATCAACAAGTAAAAGCTTACTTCAGAGGAAACGTTTTTAAAGATAACAAGAAACTGAAAGATAATAACGTCCATTTCTCCACATTATGCTTTCTTTAGAATTGGAATTAACCTGCTGTTAACTAGAATAAATCCTTTTATTTTGATTTAACTACTACCACTGAGGATTAACCCTACTTTATAAGAACGATGTTTCAGGTCTCTTGCTGTCCTTAAATCTGCTTTCTCCATCACCGATAACGTTGTTTCTGATGGCCATGATCAGGCGTAGCCCAATTTTAAGTGTAAAATGCTTATAACAGAAAAACTTGACAATATTTCAAACAAAAGACGCCCCTACCTTGATTTTTTTTTCTTCTTCATCGTTTTGACTGACTGTGCAGAGAAGAATGAAGAGGACGGACGCCATCAAAGAAGTATAAATATTTTTTCTTCCATTTTAAGAAAATTTCAATCATTCGTTTTATCAAAAGTCCAATTTTTCAAGCCACATTTCACCAAATATTCATTAATTTTACAAATATCATTGAAAGCCTGGGCTTCTGATATTAGCTGAAATATGCAAAGAAATACATGTAATCAGTAAAAAAAATAAGTACATATAATGCATACATATTTATATAAATGCAACTTTTAAACCTTCTAATTGTAATTGCCAGAAATCACATTAAATAAAATATTCAGGTAATATTTTTGTTATATAGTAATTCATATTTTAGTCAAAACATTGATAAATATTAATGATAATAATAATAATGACAGTATAATGTACTGAAAGAATTAAAGAGGTTTTATAACTGGTCAGTTTGAAAACAAGATGGTTGTAAAGATACAATGGTTGTGATAATAAAATAGAGGAAATTAGTAAATAAAACCATCGGACGTCTCTGCTGTAGGTGTAAATTTTCTGGTCTAAATGTCTCATGTTATATGCATGCAGATCAATAAAAAACTTGACCAGACGAGCAACAGGTACTGTACCTGAAATATCGCGTTTTCTATCTATTTGTGACTTTAATCTTCAACCACCTGTACACTTTTAACCATTCAGTTTTCTGGATGAGAAACCGGGTGATAAAGGTATTTATTTACGAAGCTCTGATTAAGTTTGGTTTGTTTCGAATTTCGCGAAAAGCTACACGAGAGCTATCTTCGCTAGCGGTCCCTAATTTAGCAGTGAAGGCAGCTAGTCATCACCACCCACCGCCAACGCTTGGGCTACTCTTTTTACCAACGAATAGTGGGATTGGCCGTAACATTATAACGCCCCCACGGCTGAAATGGCGAGCATGTTTGGTGGGATAGATTGCTAGTCAAGCACCCTAACCACCTGGCCATGCAGGACCGCTCTGATTAAGAGTAACCACGTATACGGCGGGTGCTTCGAATTAGTTATATTCTGTCTGAATCAGCAGCTGTAGACTGAGGACAGCTATGTCTAAACCTTGGGGGTTACTGGCATTGGCGTTCAGCTAATGTGTTCCATAAGATCCCGTGCTGTTTGATTAGATTAAAATAAAACAAATATTAATATTCGAGAAGAAACTAAAGATACATTTCATAATTTTTAAATATTTTATTTTCTACATATTATTGTTCGCATTGCTATGTGCTAGAAATGTCAGTCAGAGAAATGGGTTTCTGTGGTTGAAAGCAAGTGTTCTCAATATCTATCTGTTAAAGTCAACCAATACTCTTGTTTAGCCAACTTTTTGGTATCTTTCTAATGCACAACCAAATCAGCAGTTTTGTTTAACATAAACACACATTAACTACCAACTTGCATTTAGAATTTATGTGAAATAATTGATTCTAAAAGATATATATGTAATAACTTACCGCGGTAGAACATGTCCTTGTTGTACATAGTGGGGCAGGCCGCATTCTAAAAGATATATATGTAATAACTTACCGCGGTAGAACATGTCCTTGTTGTACATAGTGGGACAGGCAGCATTCTAAAAGATATATATGTAATAACTTACCGCGGTAGAACATGTCCTTGTTGTACATAGTGGGACAGGCAG